ATGTTGTGTTGTTCTTTTTTTGTTTGTTAGTGATGTTTATTTGCTACTTGTGATACAATGATATCATTACTGTCTGATGTTAGTTGATGAGGCGATGGTGTTTATGCATTTTTGTTTTGTATTTCCTATTTCAGGTGTGTGTTGTGTGGTGTTGACTGAGTGATTTGTTCAAATGTAGAGGAAAGAGGCAGTGAAAAACAGTGTGAATACGAAGGAATGCGACATAGAGTAGATGTGAGATTGTGAACTTGATTTTGGATTGGCATATCGAGATTGTCTGTTGATTGTGCCAGGTATCGTGATGGTCGATGTGGTTGACTTGAGTTTTCTACTTGTGAGAATTGTGAGGTGAGTCCGTCAATTTTTTGATGGTGTTGGTTTAGTTTGAATGATGCTAGATAACAGTGTTGATTAGTGATTTTCACCAAGATCTCTGAGGAACAGTTCTGACGATTGTTTTTATTTGACAGGTGATAGTGTGTGGATTGATGATGGGATTGGATCTCGAAGAGCGCGCGCGCGGGAGAGAGTAGTTTAGAGGTCATGAGCGATTGACAATGTGGAGATATGATGTGGTCTAGTGAAGCGATCCTATCGGTCATGCGTGACGATGACACAGGTATGTTGTGTTGTTCTTTTTTTGTTTGTTAGTGATGTTTATTTGCTACTTGTGATACAATGATATCATTACTGTCTGATGTTAGTTGATGAGGCGATGGTGTTTATGCATTTTTGTTTTGTATTTCCTATTTCAGGTGTGTGTTGTGTGGTGTTGACTGAGTGATTTGTTCAAATGTAGAGGAAAGAGGCAGTGAAAAACAGTGTGAATACGAAGGAATGCGACATAGAGTAGATGTGAGATTGTGAACTTGATTTTGGATTGGCATATCGAGATTGTCTGTTGATTGTGCCAGGTATCGTGATGGTCGATGTGGTTGACTTGAGTTTTCTACTTGTGAGAATTGTGAGGTGAGTCCGTCAATTTTTTGATGGTGTTGGTTTAGTTTGAATGATGCTAGATAACAGTGTTGATTAGTGATTTTCACCAAGATCTCTGAGGAACAGTTCTGACGATTGTTTTTATTTGACAGGTGATAGTGTGTGGATTGATGATGGGATTGGATCTCGAAGAGCGCGCGCGCGGGAGAGAGTAGTTTGGAGGTCATGAGCGATTGACAATGTGGAGATATGATGTGGTCTAGTGAAGCGATCCTATCGGTCATGCGTGACGATGACACAGGTATGTTGTGTTGTTCTTTTTTTGTTTGTTAGTGATGTTTATTTGCTACTTGTGATACAATGATATCATTACTGTCTGATGTTAGTTGATGAGGCGATGGTGTTTATGCATTTTTGTTTTGTATTTCCTATTTCAGGTGTGTGTTGTGTGGTGTTGACTGAGTGATTTGTTCAAATGTAGAGGAAAGAGGCAGTGAAAAACAGTGTGAATACGAAGGAATGCGACATAGAGTAGATGTGAGATTGTGAACTTGATTTTGGATTGGCATATCGAGATTGTCTGTTGATTGTGCCAGGTATCGTGATGGTCGATGTGGTTGACTTGAGTTTTCTACTTGTGAGAATTGTGAGGTGAGTCCGTCAATTTTTGATGGTGTTGGTTTAGTTTGAATGATGCTAGATAACAGTGTTGATTAGTGATTTTCACCAAGATCTCTGAGGAACAGTTCTGACGATTGTTTTTATTTGACAGGTGATAGTGTGTGGATTGATGATGGGATTGGATCTCGAAGAGCGCGCGCGCGGGAGAGAGTAGTTTAGAGGTCATGAGCGATTGACAATGTGGAGATATGATGTGGTCTAGTGAAGCGATCCTATCGGTCATGCGTGACGATGACACAGGTATGTTGTGTTGTTCTTTTTTTGTTTGTTAGTGATGTTTATTTGCTACTTGTGATACAATGATATCATTACTGTCTGATGTTAGTTGATGAGGCGATGGTGTTTATGCATTTTTGTTTTGTATTTCCTATTTCAGGTGTGTGTTGTGTGGTGTTGACTGAGTGATTTGTTCAAATGTAGAGGAAAGAGGCAGTGAAAAACAGTGTGAATACGAAGGAATGCGACATAGAGTAGATGTGAGATTGTGAACTTGATTTTGGATTGGCATATCGAGATTGTCTGTTGATTGTGCCAGGTATCGTGATGGTCGATGTGGTTGACTTGAGTTTTCTACTTGTGAGAATTGTGAGGTGAGTCCGTCAATTTTTGATGGTGTTGGTTTAGTTTGAATGATGCTAGATAACAGTGTTGATTAGTGATTTTCACCAAGATCTCTGAGGAACAGTTCTGACGATTGTTTTTATTTGACAGGTGATAGTGTGTGGATTGATGATGGGATTGGATCTCGAAGAGCGCGCGCGCGGGAGAGAGTAGTTTGGAGGTCATGAGCGATTGACAATGTGGAGATATGATGTGGTCTAGTGAAGCGATCCTATCGGTCATGCGTGACGATGACACAGGTATGTTGTGTTGTTCTTTTTTTGTTTGTTAGTGATGTTTATTTGCTACTTGTGATACAATGATATCATTACTGTCTGATGTTAGTTGATGAGGCGATGGTGTTTATGCATTTTTGTTTTGTATTTCCTATTTCAGGTGTGTGTTGTGTGGTGTTGACTGAGTGATTTGTTCAAATGTAGAGGAAAGAGGCAGTGAAAAACAGTGTGAATACGAAGGAATGCGACATAGAGTAGATGTGAGATTGTGAACTTGATTTTGGATTGGCATATCGAGATTGTCTGTTGATTGTGCCAGGTATCGTGATGGTCGATGTGGTTGACTTGAGTTTTCTACTTGTGAGAATTGTGAGGTGAGTCCGTCAATTTTTTGATGGTGTTGGTTTAGTTTGAATGATGCTAGATAACAGTGTTGATTAGTGATTTTCACCAAGATCTCTGAGGAACAGTTCTGACGATTGTTTTTATTTGACAGGTGATAGTGTGTGGATTGATGATGGGATTGGATCTCGAAGAGCGCGCGCGCGGGAGAGAGTAGTTTAGAGGTCATGAGCGATTGACAATGTGGAGATATGATGTGGTCTAGTGAAGCGATCCTATCGGTCATGCGTGACGATGACACAGGTATGTTGTGTTGTTCTTTTTTTGTTTGTTAGTGATGTTTATTTGCTACTTGTGATACAATGATATCATTACTGTCTGATGTTAGTTGATGAGGCGATGGTGTTTATGCATTTTTGTTTTGTATTTCCTATTTCAGGTGTGTGTTGTGTGGTGTTGACTGAGTGATTTGTTCAAATGTAGAGGAAAGAGGCAGTGAAAAACAGTGTGAATACGAAGGAATGCGACATAGAGTAGATGTGAGATTGTGAACTTGATTTTGGATTGGCATATCGAGATTGTCTGTTGATTGTGCCAGGTATCGTGATGGTCGATGTGGTTGACTTGAGTTTTCTACTTGTGAGAATTGTGAGGTGAGTCCGTCAATTTTTTGATGGTGTTGGTTTAGTTTGAATGATGCTAGATAACAGTGTTGATTAGTGATTTTCACCAAGATCTCTGAGGAACAGTTCTGACGATTGTTTTTATTTGACAGGTGATAGTGTGTGGATTGATGATGGGATTGGATCTCGAAGAGCGCGCGCGCGGGAGAGAGTAGTTTAGAGGTCATGAGCGATTGGCAATGTGGAGATATGATGTGGTCTAGTGAAGCGATCCTATCGGTCATGCGTGACGATGACACAGGTATGTTGTGTTGTTCTTTTTTTGTTTGTTAGTGATGTTTATTTGCTACTTGTGATACAATGATATCATTACTGTCTGATGTTAGTTGATGAGGCGATGGTGTTTATGCATTTTTGTTTTGTATTTCCTATTTCAGGTGTGTGTTGTGTGGTGTTGACTGAGTGATTTGTTCAAATGTAGAGGAAAGAGGCAGTGAAAAACAGTGTGAATACGAAGGAATGCGACATAGAGTAGATGTGAGATTGTGAACTTGATTTTGGATTGGCATATCGAGATTGTCTGTTGATTGTGCCAGGTATCGTGATGGTCGATGTGGTTGACTTGAGTTTTCTACTTGTGAGAATTGTGAGGTGAGTCCGTCAATTTTTTGATGGTGTTGGTTTAGTTTGAATGATGCTAGATAACAGTGTTGATTAGTGATTTTCACCAAGATCTCTGAGGAACAGTTCTGACGATTGTTTTTATTTGACAGGTGATAGTGTGTGGATTGATGATGGGATTGGATCACGAAGAGAGGGGGCGAGGGAGTAATTTGCATTTGTTTTTGTCTCAATCATAAGCTTAACGGAATTCGGTATTGACTGGTTATCAGTTTCCTTGAGTAGTGTTATGACAACACTATGTGGAAACTTTATATCTTATGTATAGCATCCATGTCTCTGGCTTGATGAATAATGAAACTGTTTGACGATACGATAAATTAGGCATCAGGTTTTAGTTGTGCTTATTAATTTCCATGAACTTCACTGAATGCCTTGATGCTTGATTATTAACTAACTTTTACGGACAGTCAATTTAATTTAAATGTTTCAGTTTCCCTTAGGTTTACGTGTAGTAAATTTGAATTAATTAGGTATCGTCTGCTAGTCAGTTCAAGTTATAACTTCATCTTCACAAATACATACTTCTAAACATGTTGCTCTCTCTATTCAAAGTTTAATGCGAAGCGATGTTGTTTGTATAAAACAATAATTGATTCACACATTATTCCTCGAATTTTTCTCATCCCAGTGGGATGCACGAAGTTATGTATGTGTTCTGATTTATTTGAGTGCTGATCCTTTTGTGATTTATGAACATTTTAGACAGATCTAGGAATTCCTAGTGTGTACATTACATTTGCTACTATTATATTTGATAGAATCCCCTATTTTACACGCTTGAAATTTGTTTTGCTTTTAAGTTTATCTGGTGAAGTATAATGAGGCATGTTGGATAATAATAATAATAATAATAATAATAATAATAATAATAATAATAATAATAATAATAATAAACCTTAACCATCTCAGTTCATGCATTTTTCTTATTACTAAAGAAACAATGCGCCTAATTCAAAGAAAAAAAAACAATCATACTTGGTCTATTTCACATAATTTAAATATTTGTACATGTTGTAATTAAGTAGAAATTCTCTTTAGGAAATTGTATGAAAAGATCAGATGAAACGCATTTATTTATTAAAAGTCCATTAAAAGGAATTATTGACAAAAAGAAAAATATTTCATCAATTTTTCTTCTACATAGAATCATCTAATGATAAATATATGTAGTTTAGAAAACAAAAATTTTTTTTTCACTTTCTGAACACCCCAATTTATATTTTTATAATAGATCTCTACAGAACAGTTTATTTTGCATTGAATTTGATAATATTTATTATGAATAAATTATAATCACAATAGGTTTAATTAGTGTGAGCTAGAAGAAAATCTAAGTACACTTAAAATATTTAACATTTTAATTTGTTTAAATAATATGCAACAAATGGAAAAAATAATGCACAAATTGAAGTGTAAATAAGTGCTATAAAAAATAATGTACGTGCTTTAAAATATTGTAATAATAAACCCCATATTAATCCACCTAAACTACTGCTTAAACCATACATAGTACTTGTTAGTATAGCTTGTAAACTAGCTAAAATTTGATAATTCTCATTTATTTTTTCAAAACTAACTTTTTCCGTTTGTAATAATAAAGCATTCATTAAGATTGGATAAGATATACCGTAAGCAATTTCACCAATTAAGAGATACCAATAATTTGTTGAATAAGTATAAAATATGAAATGTATAGTTAACATGATTTGTGAAATTACTTGACATGCAATCACACCAAAGCGTTTTACAGTGATACCTGAAATAAATAATAATGTTGGTATTTCTACAATAATAGCTATAGTTGTTAATAAACCTAGGAAATAATGTGGTACATGATAGATCGTGGTGAGAATAAGATAATTATATTCACCAACAAATGATATAATCAAACCAGTCATAAATGCAACCACTAAACATTGAATCATTGTTGGTGAACGTATTGCTGTCGTTAATGCTTTTGTAAAATGTGTTTCTACAGATTTTGTATTATCATAGTTACAAAATATTGATGCAATTGTACCAATGCCAACTGATAATGAAGCGATTATAATTGCTGGTATATAATTCGGATTCACTGAGTTGATATTTAATGAATTATTAGTATAGTATAAAAGATTCAGATTTGTTTCATTTATTGTATGATGATAATTTATTGATGTATACTGATATACTGCAAAACCAGTTAATAGAGAACCAATCATAAAACCAAATGATCCTAGTGCTCTTGATCTACCGTAGAAATGTGCCTTTCCTGATCCAAGTATTGAAAATGTTACTGAATCTAGTAGATTTGAAATTGGTGCATGAGCTGAGCTAACTAAACAGCGTAGAATTAAAACGAATATCACAACTGACCATGATGCATCCTCTGGTTTGTATTTATTTAAATAGATTAAAAAGAATAAACTAATTATATTTAAAATATAAATTAATAAATGTTAATAATCAAATGTAAGATATAAATTTACTGTGTTCTGAATACTCTAAATCCGATTTCAAAAATCTATTCTTTTATTTATCGTACAAACGTAAAATCTAAAAAAAGTAATAAATACTTATGAGATGCAGTCTATTAATGAACAAAATATCAGCGAAGAAACTCTTAGACACTTTACATGATCGATATCATCTATTTTTGGATAGATTTTCATCAAGCTTCATATATAAAACAAATAATTTCTCAAAAGAGTTGATTATGCTAAAGTATTAAAAAATTGACAACTATTACGACTGAGATAGATGACTGATTAATTGAATTGAATAGAAACAGTTAATAATTAGATAAAGCTACGTGATCCTCACACTGATCAACCATTTCAACTATCGAAATCATATCTGAATTTTGTAAGTTCAATCACCACACTTAAGGAATTCAGTCTCTATGTATAGACCAAACATAAACCTTAGTTTGCAGGAATATCACATAAGTTTAGTTTTTGCAAACTAATAAAAATAATGAAAATACAGAACCTGAAATTCCTAGTGAAGTACTATATATGTAAGAAAAAATGACTGGTGATATATTAATTTAGGGTTTTAAACTAATTGTTTATATATGAAGTCAGTTTGTAGTGAACAGAACACGAGTGGGGACAATCGAATGTATTTAACACATAATTACAGGACTTGTGAATAAAATCTAGCAATCATAAAGTAAATGCTTAATTTGCAAAATGTTCATCGATTGTCTCAAAATGACTCAGACTTCTTTGTTCTTGCAGTTTCATACAAATTGCATCTTGTTTCCATTCTTTACTGTTCGGTCCTCTTGTCTCTCTACTTCCAGACCTTCTGTTTACTACTATCATCATATACTACTTATGTCAATATAAGTAGCACACACCACAAGTTAACTAAATTTATCATCATACGGTGGTTATTACTTTCACATGTTGACACTGACTTTAATAAACCATCCAGCTCAGAGAACACAACATCAGAATCCTTATTATGTTTTTATGTAGTGTTGGATAAAATATACATATGCAACCTGGACCGATGCACATATGTGCCTGGTCCTACGTTGTAGCTGACTGACATATATTGTAATTCTGATGTTAAATGAAATAGACTGGAATTAATCACAGCATCAATTCTTATCTGACGCTAAGTCTAAAGCTCAATGTCAGTGGATACTCTTCATATTTCTATTTCATTTGTTTGTTTTTAAATTTTTGTATGTTCCACGTTCCAATGCTAATAGTGTTATTTTTTAATTCTTTGTCCTAGTTTTCATTACTATCTAGCTACTAATATGAAGTGTAACAATTTCAGCTAATACACAATTGTTTCATACTCTATATGATCAGCCGATAAATATACCATTGAAAAAGCTCTAGAAATCTTCATTCAGATGTTAAAAATTAAAAAAAGACGTTAGAATAAATTCTTAGTTATTAAGGTAAGTTCAGCAATTCCCTTGAAAAGAAGAAAAAAATTATGTACATACAGAATAACGGTTAGAATAGATTATTTTATTATCACAATTTACATCATGGACTAATCTTAGTTAAAGCTCCACCAGAAACCAAGAAGCAGCGAACAGGTTTGTCGTCCTAGTATGGACCTCAGCGGTTTTAATCAACAACCCCACTAGTGTCTAACTTCTAGATGCAATCCTAGGGGTCCTAGTGAGAACCTGTGACCGGTGGAGCGTAAGTCTCTTTAGTGTGAATTGGGTACCAACCCAAGAGAATGGGGGATGGTTGTGCAATGTTGTGAACTGATTGGATTTAGACATGCATACTATTGCTCACTGGCCGAGTAATCTAGAGGTCGATCATTTTCGAAGAAATCGAAAGTCCTGGGTTCGATTCATAAAAAGGTAATCAATCCGAACTCGTTATTAGTCCCCTAAAGAGATGAAAAAACCATCCATTGCTTTTAGTTTTTCAACCGTATTCTAACTAGGATCAATCCATAATATGTGCTATGAAAATTATCTGTTAACTCAAACATTTCGAAACAAATAATGTATTGATCAAGAGGATAAAACTACTCTGATGAACAATTTTATCACTTAGTAAACTGCTAAAACTTTATTGAAATAGCTTTTTTAAAGTGATGAGTAAAATCATTTCAGCTTTTAGAGATTGAATTGTGAATTTTATTTTTATCCTTATTTTCCAATAAATCATGACGTCAAGAAAGACTTGATTTCAATGAAAGGTGGGATACCAACTGATAAGGTTGTAAGCCTGTATCAATTGAGCTGGTCGAAACAAGTGTTACAAGTACATAACCATAATCTATTTCGACGGGTGTAGAAGTAGGTTAAAAGAAGGGTAAAGGCAACCAAACCGAGATATGGTATCAGTCTTTGAAATCGCTGACTACCGAGATGAGTTGTCTTAATAAGTGCAGACTACTTAGTTGGAGTCGCTGTCAAAACCGTTATCAGTAGTTGGAGACTGAATTTTTATAAGCATGAAAATGCATTTACTCTTTCTCTTCTCGGTCTTAAATTCAATCCCTCTTTCATACATACCTTTCCATTTTGCCTTTTCGAATCATATTGTCAATATATAGTCTTTCTAATAATAATTGCCACTACATTTTTGATCTATTTTATCATTAACCATGTTATTTTTATCTAATTGTGATAGTGTAGTATGGCGAGTTAGGTCAATGCTGATCCTTTACAGGCTCGGTGTTCATGGTGTCTGTCTATCTATCTCAACAAAGTCAGTCTATGGCCAGCACAATAATATCTAATTATAGTCATCTGCCTGCATTAAATTAATTACAAACATTGAATAATTCAAACAAGAGTTCGTTACGCCCATACTAAACAGAATGAAAGGAAACTTTTAATATTTGTGGAGTAATTAGCTCTACTTACGTATATGCTCGCAAACAAGTGGCGCACAATCAGATCCATCCGATGTTTCAATTTCTACACAACTAAGTTGAATTGTTTTATTAATTGGGAACTTCTGTTGTACATGTATTGACAGATGATATGAATGATTTTTATCTCCAACATAAACTCTTGATAATTTGTGAGAATTAAAAGCTTTTAGGTAATAATTCTTTTCTGATATAATGAGATTTTCATTGGATGTACACTGTTTTAAAACCATTGGCCAACATGGCGGTATATTTAATCCATCAATAAAAAGTGTCCTGTCAAATAGTTGAAAAGTCCATTGAATACGTGAAATTTAGTCATATTAATATAAATCATTTATGAAATACATACATTCTTCCTCAATCGTTTGTGGGGTCACTACTAGTATTAACTCTGAGTATCGTTGGAGTGTTGGGAGTGGGATTGGCAACACCACGTAATAATCAGTGAAAATCAATAAAACTTCGCCCTGAGAGTTGATGGGTCTTCATTTAAAAGAGTTGTTAGGCTTTGTGATGAAGCCCGAGATTTTATGGAAGCTACAAAGCCAACACAACTTCTGACAGGCTGAGTAACAACAAATATGAGTAGATGAGAAATCCGAATTATATGTTATCGGTAGAGTCATTCAAACATACACTGAAATAAGAAGATGCATTTTGGCTCTGCTTAGGATAAATAAAACTCATTTGAAACAACCTAATGTACAGAGGATACTAACTTCAAGAGAGCAGTCACCCAGTGCAACACACCCACTACCGATGATGGTAGAGGTTATAAAGACCAGTTATATGAGGATCTGTAGATCATTCTACAGAAATGCCAATGAAAAGACATGATAATTCTGATAAAAAAACCCAAATGCCGAGTCAGGATATACAATACAGAGTAAATTATACTCATACATATACAGCATGAATATTGAATAATAATCAAGCTTCTATATGATCAAGGAAGTGTTATAACTGAAAATAATGCTGATTAAGGGATAGCGAATTATTGATCGGACCAAAGACGCGCAAACAGGTAGAACGACCTGGGGTTCTGATTGGTCTCGCTTCCCTGTCTAGCCCAGTCAATTGAGTCCAGAACACAAGTCACAGCCTCGGATATATGAATCATTATATTTCAAACATACTTTGTTTATATACCAGTCAAGCAGACCACAACGTACCATAAAATAGAAGATAACATTGTACAATAATGGCCAGTAGGAAAATGACACGTTAAACAAATATTGACCAATAAGATGATACCATTCCATGTCCAAGGATAGCATTAGGCTTAACAGGATAATTTTTGGGATATTTTCCTGAATATCCCAACAGGAAGTCACTATAATAGGTTTCATTCTAATTGTATACAAACTGGTATAAGAACAATGAAGTTTTATTTCAAATTATGAATGTTATTGATTATGTTTGGTGTCTGTTAATTATTGATATCAATAGGTAGAAATTGCTCAGTTTAATTGTACAGCATTGGATACCGGCTTAGTGGTCTAGTGGTTAAGTACTCGAGAGTGAAACAAGGTTTATGGTTAGATTCCAGCATGCAGGATCGTGGATATGCACTGCTGGAGAGTCCCATACTGTCATGAAACGACCATCCAATGTTTCTGAGTTTTTATTGGTTGACTAGCTTGGATCGATTCACGATTTCAATGAAAAAGATTTATCTTAACTGTAAATTTTAATTAATTAGGATTTGTTACGACTTATAGAAGATAATGGATATCCCTACAGTTTCAGTGGAGTCGGCTTCTACTGATTGTCATTCTTATAGTTTAAATAAAAATAAATCTCCATGCAAACATATTTACCTTAATTTTCAAATTTTCATTATATTACTTTTTCATTGTTAAGTAACTGGTGTATGGTTTCTAAATATTTGAAGCTGTGATTCAACAGGTTTTCTGTAGCATATTAAATTTCAGTTGATTACTTAGGTCTAATATTCTTTTAAAAAACTAAACCTCTGGAAAAAGGTAGTGTTAGTGCACAATCAGAACGATTCAAAACAAGACAGTAACGAAATGAATGTTATGATTCAGGAAAAAATGTGCCTATAATATTGCATCTTGGTATTATCTAACCTTCAGCGAGTTTATATTTAATTATAGTTTCATGAAGAAAACATTGCGTTAAAAAGACGTCGAAATATACTTCGGTATACTAGTAAATATTAGTAGGTTTATAAAAACACTTTGACTGCATAATATTAAGTCCGATTATTAGTTGACGGTACCGTGAATTCAACTTCTTAGATATAAGTCAGTTTTTTATTATAAGCCGAAATAAATTGTGTACTCTTGAAACTAGGTTACTAATTACGTAAGACAGTCGTAAGGAGACGGATATAACGAACACTCACTGAGTCTTTATCAACCGGTTATTCGTTCATGAATAATTCACACAGTATGACATTCTTCTCGATATATTTCTAATATCATGGTGACTAAAATTTGGACTTCGGTATCAATCCAAAATGGCATTCAGTAATCGGATAATATGTATTTGGGCAATTCAATAATGAAAACTCCAATATATATCTGTAAACTAATCGATAAAAATTGTATACATTGGAAATAGCTAAACACTGTTTAATTCTGAATTAAATTGCTACTATTTATTAGCCTTAAAAGTATTTCATGTGTTCCAAACGTTTTCGAGGATGCCAGTATGTTTGTGACAATTCATTTAGAGCACGTGAATGAGACAAATATATTGGTAAACTGTGTAGAAATGTCAGTTAAGACAGTTTTGGAAAAGAATTTGGACTCAATGTGTACTAATTGAGTGGTCCTGGGTTTAACAGTGCTTTGAATTGTGCGTATGTGGGTTGCAAAAAAGTCTCTGAACAGAAAAGACATCATTTTGAAGGTTCTCAAAACTTCTTTTTAGTGGTTTTCTGATTGAAGTCAGTTTATGGTAGTCAATGATCGAGTTCAAAAAATCATTAGGTTTTTGTATTTTAGGTAGAGTGGAGCCAGTTTATGATGAAAACTCACCACCAAAAGAAAGAAATGAAACTACAATTTAGAAATGGTAGCTGTAACATGAGAAGACAAATAAATGGTGAGGTGTTATAATAAATGAGATAGCGAAGGTTTTGAACTAATCTTATGAGCCGAACAAAACCATTTAGATCATATTAGATAAATAAAGAGATCAGAAAACATTTCAGTTTAGATACATGGAGATCATGTTGTTTATTGCTAGGAATTGTACTTAATCTAGGCTCGTTAATTCTTAATTGAAAAAGGAAGGTTGAAAAACATGACATAACTTGATTTAACTTTGTCTCAGAAATAACTAAAACTTAGTCTAATCTGAACATAAACTTACTTTACGAACCAAAGTATCAGTTACACAGATTAAACTTTACATTCAGTTCGGTAGTACGTTTACAACTTTATATTATGTACAGTGCAAAAGTAGTTAGTTGATTCATAAAAATCCTTCATTATGGTAAACGTTGTTGAGAAAATATGACTTTGATAATAACAGTAGTCATTTTAGTCAACATAATATATGTAATAACAGTATAGAATATGTAATGTGACTGAAATAAGTTCGTCAATTCATGATTAAATCATCAATGCTTTTCTCATGAATATCATGGAGAATATACGTTTAAATCTACAATTCTAATTTAGGCTATCGACTGTTGTTTGTTGAGACAAATAAACTAAATTTTTAGATTACTGCACTAATAGATTTGCCACAGTAGGCGCGAGCAACTTGATTTAGGATTAGACTTAGAAATATCTACACTAAAGATGTCATGAAACTAGTACAGCTTTCAAACTGTTTTAATAACTCATTATTAGTGAAATAGTATTTATGCTGATGAAATCAAAATAATCAGTAAGGGCTTGTGGAGATTGTTAAATCTCACTGAAATCATGAATCGATCTAAGGTAGACCATTGGAAATCTAGAAGCATTGGACAGCCGTTCCATCCTGGTATGAGACACACAAGAAGTGTGCATCGAAGGTCCTGCACGCGGGAGTCGAGTACAGCACCAAGTCATGAATTGATTGGAGTTAAACATTAACACCATTTGATGTGGACCCAGTGGTCTAGAGGTTAGGCGTCTGTGCGCACGGTCGAAGGTCCTGGGTTCTACTCTTATACCAGGGTGAAACAACCGTCTGGTGCTTCCGCATTTTAAATGGTTGTTGAATTTGGATCGGTTCATGGTTCCAATGATATCACAATATTTTGAAAATCAGTTAATAATTATTGCAATTATAATGCTTTACACGTTGTTAAGGTAATCCGTATCCTTTGAAGGCGAAATGAACATTTTACCGGTTTTACGAATTACGTTTTAAATGGCATTTGTTAGTATGTTTACTATTGGTGTACAGGCGTTTGTTTTTCAAAATTCAACTTGAATATTACTGGAAATAAATGTAGTATTGTGAAAAGACATACTTTTTTTATCATCTTAATTTTTTTTAAAACATCATATTCCATCAATGAACGCCTAGCGGTAGATATGATCGATACTTCATAGTATATAAAAATAAAAATAACTTATTCACAAGTAGGTATTGATAATTATGAAATGAAACAGTTTTGGGCCACCATGCTATCTATATTTACTTAGTTAAGGCTAAGAACAACACCGATCAAAAGAATATTAATTTATTTTATTTTTCTCCCATCAATTTCTCTAAGCATTTAAAAACACTTTTGAAACAATGTTCAATAGTTACTGGACAAATAATCGATTTATCTTGTAATTATCAGTTGTGGAGATTATCAAGTTTTTGGTTGAGATCATGAACCGATTGATCTTAGACCACCGTTGGTAACCCGGACGCACTGGACGGCCGTTTCGTCCTATTGTGGGACTCCTCAGCCGTGCGTCCACGATCCCGCTCGCAGGATTTGAACCCAGGGCCTTCAATCTCGCGCGCAAACGCTTAACCTACTGGACCACTGAGCCGGCATCTAATGGTATTAATGTCTAACACCAACCAATCCACGAAATCGCGCGACCATCTTCGATTGTACTAGGGTAGATACCAGTCTCCACCCGATACGGATTAGCTCCACTGGTCACGGCTTGTCAACTTGTGATTAACGGAAATTTTGTGGTATTTTATATCTACAACTATATTGAGATAAAACCTTGATTATGACAAAAGTTAATTTATAATGATCGTTCATAGAATTTTTAATCTAAATTAGTTTTAAATAACATTGAAGTTTGATTTTTAATATGATTTGTAACTAAAGATTTTAGAATAGCTGTATTATAGGCTTGATTAAAGATACGTTCTATAGAAAGTCAATAGATTTCAAAAATTATTATAGAAGCTAACAACTGTTACTTTCTTGATTGCTCAAATCGGGATTGTTAATTTATAAGAAAATTGCAACTAGAACATAAGATTTATATGTGTAACATGTAACTCCTGAATCATTTGGTAAAAATTGAATGACTGAATCTGTAATATACTAAATGGAAGTAAAATATTTTTTCTACACATTTATGCTCATGATGTGACCTGTTTTATTAATCTGTTCACCGTGACCAATCAAATGCATTTTTGAACATTAACGACGGAAAATCATACTCTAAACTACTATGTTAGACTGGTCAATGGTTGACAAGATTTTCAAAAAAGAAATGATTTACACTATAAGATAGAATAACATTACTTCATTAAAAGTGCCCCCCCTACAATATTTATAATTATATATATAATAAAAAGAAATACACGAAGTAAAACGTAGTTAAGAAAAAAATATTTAATTCCGCTTACTCCATATAATTACTTTGACTGTCATTTTTTAATAATGGTGTTAAATGCATTACAAATTCCCCATTCTCATTCATGTTTCCATTGAATAAATATTCTTTATTTCTTGGTATTGTTAAAAATAACAACATTAAACCAAGTGATGCAGATGATAAAGCCATTAAAACCTTGTAAATGAATAGGGTTAAAAAAAACAAGGAATAACTTCTTCCAGATAAAGTGAAACCAAAATATAATTTAGAAAGTAATAAGTTCTGTAAAATACTTAAAGAGATCGTTTACATTAATTGGTTATTTAATAGTACCAATCGATCAAGTTATACACCGACTTTACCGACTTAGGTTAAGGCATATGATAATGTTACGAGTGTTTTTCCCTTCTTCTATACATAAAAAAGCTCCAAGACTAGTCCAAACCAGTGTTAATTCTGAACAAATGGAGTGAAGTAATTGTACACATTGACAATTTCAGAGCCTCTTAAATCATGGTGTTCTAACAGTTTCAAAATATGAATACTGGCATGCAAAGCTAGGCTAGCTATCTCCAACATTTCTCCACCAGCTAAATGGAAGATATCCACTTCTGAATCAAAGACAGTGTGTGCCTCTTAGTAATTCACTCGATAGTATCTTCTATCTGTGATGCATTGCCTCTGAGGATTTAAGATATTTTGTTGTCACAAATATTTGAAAATATGTGTCTTCGAAGTGTTATTAGCTTATGATGGAAACACTGGATGAGTGGTACTAAGGTTAAGGATGAAGTGTTAATTATTGATTGCAAATCAGTTATTGTTGTAGACCTTTATTTATGTTGAACATAATTTCAACAACTTAAAGACTATTGGTTAGGGCCATCTCTCAGATGAATATTATCGTTGACGTATTTCGCTAGCTAACTGTAATAAATTGTTGATACATTTTAGAATTAGTGACAGTGATTCAGACTTATTCATTCTTTCTCAAACTTAGTGTGAATTTGGGGTTTTAATATTATAGAATACTTTTTTCATAACAAGTTCTCTTATGTTTAGTCTTCTAACGTTATTTGTATTGCTATTTCGTTGGCATTATTTACGATAATTTTTAAAACTTAGATTAATACATGATAGTAACGTTGTTAGATGTTTTCGAGTAGTCAGTAGAAGACTTCAGAGCCAGGTTTCTGACTATTTGGCTCTTTTCAGCAAGGCATAGCTGAAATTTTGAAGGAACTGATGCTTTCTGGATAATCCAAACCTGAGTCACTCAGTCCCATAGTTTGAGACGTTAGCATTGAATTATTGGGGATGTGACTAACTTTCCATTAGATTGAAATATTTAAACTGGTTGATCACTGAACAATGGCAGATGTCATGTTTATCTAGTTCTTAGTATTGACTAAACTCTACCTATTAAAACTAGAAAAATAAGACATTTGTCACTGTTCAGTAAACAATCAATGCACATATTCTACATTAATCATGATTCATTTAATCGCATTTTCATTTACTTATTTCTTACTAACATGGTTTG